CTCCTTTTTTTCTAGAGCTTTCTAGAACTGTTCTAGAGCATTTTATTGTTAAGTTACTAATATGAGATTCCTTTTTTTTTTATGTAGGCACTTGGTACTATGAACTTACCTTGTAGAACCACCTTCATTGTGTTCCATATGTTTGAATATGTTGTATATTTATTTTCATTCAATTGTAAAAAGTCTTTAATTCTTTATTTCTGTCTTCCTCTATTTGTCATCCAGTAGAGAGTTGATCAGTCTCCATGTGTTTGTAAGGTTTCTGTTGTTGATATTCAGCTTTACTCTGTAGTGGTCAATTTTCTCATATCTCTTGAGACTTGCTTTGCATTTGAGTATGTAGTCAGTGTTGTAGAAAGTACCATTGAGTGTAGAGAAAAAAATACATTCTCATGTGTTTGGGTGAAATTATCTATAATATCTGTTGGGTCCACTTGGTTTATAACGTCAGCGCTAGTGTTTCTCTGTTTAGTTTTGGCCTGGATGATCATCTTTTGGTGAGAGTGGGATGTTAAAGTCTCCCACTACCAATGTGTGAGGATCACCATGTGACTTAAGCATTAGTAGTATATCTTTTATGAACTTTGGCACCCTTGCATTTGCAGCAAAGATGTCAAGAATTACAAAGTTCTCTTGAGGCAGTTTTCCTTTGATGAGTATATAGTGTCCTTTCCTATCTCTTCTGATTAGCTTTGATTTGAAGTCTGTTTTGTCAGATATTAAAATGGATACATCAGCTTGCTTCTTTAAGTCAATTTGCTTGGAGTATCTTTTTTCTACACTGAGGCTGAGGTGATGTCTATTCTAAACGTTAAGGTGTGTTTCTCCTATGCAGCAGAAGGATAGACAGTGCTTTTGCAAACATTCTGTTTGTTAGAATGTGTGTTTTTTTGTCTTCTTATTTGGGGAATATTTGAGACCATTTGTGTTGAGATATATCAATGGCCAATGATTGTTAATTCTTGGTATTTTGTGTGCGGGTGTGAGTGTGTACATGCATGGGTACATTTTTCTTCTTTTGACTCGGCTTGTCTGGATTTATTCATTTCCTGTTGGGAATTTTTCCTTCTAGCACTTTCTGTGAGGCTGCATTTGTAAATAGATATTGCTTAAATTTAATTTTATCGTGGGATGTCTGATTATGGTGACTGAAAGTTTTGTGGGATATTATAGCCTTGCTGGCATCTGTAGTCTCTTAGAGTCTGTAGAGCATCTGGCCAGGCCTTCTGATTTTATAGTCTCCGTTGAGAAGTCAGGTGTTATACTCATAGGTTTGCCTTTATGTGTTACTTGATCTTTTTCCCTTGTAGCTTTTAATATTCTTCTTGTCTGTACATGTAGTGCTTTGATTTTTATGTGCCTAGGGGAAGTTCTTTTCTGTTCTAGTCTAATTTGGTGTTCTGTAAGCTTCTTGTACCTTGATAGGCATCTTCTTATTTAGGTTACAGAACTTTTCTTCTATGGCTTTGTTGAAAATATTTTCTGTGCCTTTGAAGAAAGGGGGTTTCTTCTCCTTCATCTATTCTGATTATTCTTAGGTTTGGTCTTTTCATAGTGTCTAAGTGAGAGTTCCTGTATATTTTGTGCCAGGAATTTTCTTTTCTTTAACCAAGGTATCCATTTCTTGATGTGTCTTCAATACCTGAGATTCTCTCTTCCATCTCCTGTATTCTGTTGGTGACATTTGTCTCTGTAGTTCCTTTTCGAGTTCTTAATTTTTTTTTCATTTCTAATTTGCTTCAGTTTGGGTTTTCTTTATTGATCATATTTTCACTTTCAGGTCTTGAAGTGTTTTATTCATTTATTCCACTCTTTGTGTTTTCATAGATTTCTCTAAGGAATTTGTTCATTTCCTCTTTAAGGACCTCTGTCATCTTCACAAAGGCTGTTTAAAGCCCTTTTTCTTATCCTTCCACTGTGTTGGAATATCCATGGTGGGGTTGCTGGACCCTAATAGAGACATATTGTCCCAGCTGTTTTTATGTTGACATCTAGACATCTGGAATTGGGAAGATTATAATTGTAGATGATAACATCTGGTCTTGTCCTTGTTGGGTGGGTGCTTTGGTCCTTCGTTTCTGTTTCCTCTGTGGTTCTTAGAAAAGTGTGGTGGGTTTTGCTTGGCAGGAAATTCTTCTGTGGTCCCAATAGGTATGGCCACTCTGTGTCCCGGGTATTAGGGGCCAACACTTAGAAAAGGGATGGGTCTGGAGATACGGCTGGGAATGGGGCTGAGGGGGTTCATGGGTGAAAGAAGAGCAGAGTGTTCCACCAGCATCTGCTTAGTTGGTCCCCTGGGAATGGGGGAATGAGGACGAGGAGAGGCCACAGCAGGTCTGCTATAGAGCTAGGCATGAAACTGACGGACTGGACACTGAGGAATGGAGGAAGTTAAAAGATCTGCAGACTGCTTGCTTCCCTGCTCATCAAGGCCTGGGTTAGCTGAGAGTGCCTGCTGGGATGGGGAGCAGGGATCAGGCACTGAGGGGGAGGGGAAGACCTTCGGGATCCCCGGGAGTTGGGTGTGTGGAGGAGGGAGGGTGCAGCCGGTGTTCTGTTGCAGAGAAGGTTCTGGTTATGAGACTGGAGGGGGTACAGGGAATGGATGTGAGGAGAGGAAGCAGAGTTGAAGACCTGTAGTCAGCCTACCTGCTTCCCGGGCCTGCGTGCATTCTGTCTGATCTTATATGAGTAGAATCTTACAGTGGCCAAGCATGGCTATGTAAAATCCTATTTTATCATCGACAGACACTAATGGCACTTTCGGTTCCTGTGTCTGATAAACAGTGCTGGTGTGAATATTCCCAGCCATGACTCCCACTTGACGTGTGAAGATTCCCACCTTGGGCCCTAGGAGACATACTTGGGTAGACATTTTTTCCAGCGTGACCTTGAACGAGTGCCCTCCCACTGAGGCGCGGGATTTCCGGTTCCTCCATCTCCATGGCTGCGAGTATTTCGCGCTTCAGCCTCTGGCCTGTGTTCTGAGTGCTGGTGTGGCTTCATTCTGTATGTCTCGAGAGCAGTGTTGTTGCACATGGATACTCGTCACTGAATCTGGTAAAATATTTTCAGGGGTGTTACCACGGCACAGGTGGTATGAAAATGGAGCAGTAATCGTATCGGTGATGATTAACTGATGGAAATCTATCGTGTCCCTTTCATTAGTGAAATTGTGCAAAGAGAACAAGTTCCTCTTTTTAAGGTTTTGTTTTTTGTCCTAGTACACATAATTCAGTAGAAACTTACTAAAGGAACATTTGCTGTGTGGCATGAAGCTTCCCTGGCCTTTGTCATCGGAGGCTAGCTCCCCAGTGCTGAGCAGGGTCTGATAGTGGAGAATTAAGTACAGGCCAGGGTTCCAGAAGCCCTAAATAAATGTAAAATATGTATGATTTGGGGGGGAAGGATTAAAGCTTTTAGGTATGATATTCATAAGTAGTTAGGACAGTTGCCAGACTTCCTATGGGGAACTAAATGTTTTTTTTTAATGACACATTCATTTCCTTTCATAAATACCAAGGCCCACTGGTAAACTGGGCTTAAGACCTAATCATATTAGTTGTGTAGCTTAAAATATTTGAATGCTTGAATTTAACTCATCATTTGCCAGTGGTCTTTACCTCCCCAAAATGTACATGAGTGCAAAAAATATTCCACAATAGCCTTTGACTTTTCAATTAGGCCTTGTCTCCTCTTGAAAATGTAGCAGCAAGGCAAATGTCTATTGTTACTGGGCATGTATGAAGGAATGGTGTGGATGCTATAATTTTTATCATTGACAAAATGGTACAGATTAAGCCAAAAATCACTAGTCATTGGAGTTGAGGAGATGGGCCAATGGATAATGTCCTCACCATGCAGGTATGAGGACCAGAGTGCAGATCTTAAAACCTTCATAAAATCCAAATGGGGGATGGGGACTCACCTGTAATTCTAAAACACGAAAGTCAGGACGGGGGAACCCTGGGACAAGCTGGAAAATGAGAACAGCTGAGCCTACGGGCTCTGTGTTCAAGAAGACATCCTGACTCAGTAAATGAAGCAGAGAACAGTCAAGGAAGACACTGGTGTCAGCCTCCTCACAGTTACTCATGGTGTATTATGTACACACGCACACACACATACACACACACACAAACATACACATACATACACACATACATCCAGGCATGCATGCGTGGGTGCACACACACACAAACAACACACAAACACACACACACACACAAATATACATATACATGCAAAACACGTGAGGAAGAAAAAGAAAAGTATTAATATGTTAGTTTAAACATCACCATTTCATTATATTTTTGCTGAGTTGCAATGGCTTATTTTAACTAAAGCTTACTAGCCTACTCCTTTTAGACATAAATGCAATTGATCAAATGCAGTTCTGAGACAGTGTCTTACTGCTTGCTCCAAGCCAGGCCTTAATCTCAGAATCCTTCTGCCTTAGCTCCTGACGTTCCAATTATGCGTGTAGACATCAAAATTGGATCAAATGCATTATTTTCATATGACACCACGTGTTTGTTTGCTGTTGCTAAATAATAGAAGTCCTTTATCACATTATGCTTTTTAAAAAAGATTTATTATGTACAGTGTTCTGCCTGCGTGTACACCTGCTCGCCAGAAGAGGGCACCAGATCTCATTACTGACGGTTGTGAGCCACCACGTAGGGAATTGAACTCAGGACTTCCAGAAGGGCAACCAGTGTTCTTAACCTCTGAGCGATCTCTCCAGGCTCACGTTATGTTTTGATACAACTTAACGAGCCTTTCAAAATGACTAGATGATGGCTTTTTTTTTCTAATTAATTTAAAACCCGTTGCACTAAATTGTTTTAAAATGTTAGCGGAAGTTTTCTAAGTAGATCGGGTTCTAATTGAAAGCCACATGTAACTCCGGTGCTACAAATAGAAAGTCAGGGTGGAGATAAGCCTGCAACTGTCTGTTGAGCCGGCTACTCACAGCGCGTGATGTTCTTCTCCTCTAGGTTGAAGAAAAAGTCCCAGTCGGTGGATATCACTGCACCAGGGTTCAACCCTCTGGGGGGTGCAGGAAAGCCAGCACCACAAGCCAGCAGGGCCCCTGCACCCAAGACCCCCATCATCGAAGAGGAACAGAACAACTCAGCCGACACCCAGAAGCACCCTCCCAGGAAGACTGAGCTGAAGAGGTTCTACACCATCGGTGAGTGCCGAGTTTGCTGTACGCGAACTAGCGCCACGTGGTGGGCAGCTTTACGGCTGCAGGTTCTGCATAGTTAAATGATGCCTCGTTGCGTAATCGTGCGTCCTTCTGAAGAGGTTCTACACCATCGGTGAGTGCCGAGTTTGCTGTACGCAAACTAGCGCCACGTGGTGGGCAGCTTTACGGCTGCAGGCTCTGCATAGTTAAATGATGCCTCGTTGCGTAATCGTGCGTCCTTCTGATGGCTTGTGTGGACATTCTCTTCTGGGATCTGAACAAGGATACGGAAGATGGAAAACTACTAAAACCTTTAGCAAAGTTAGGTCAGGAAATGGGCTCAGTGTCCACCTATATCTAAACACAAGAAAGAAAATCAATATTTTATTTCGGCTTTTTACCTTATGTGTTCCCCGTTTTCTTGTAGTCCGCTTTTGCTCGTTTCCTTCTCCCTTTGGGGCTTCTAAGTCTCTGACCTGGTTCTGTCAGGTCGTAAAATCAGTGGCTGACGTTGGCCTATCGCTTAGCCATGGAGAAGGGAGAAAATTACTGTATCTTGGGGAATAACAAGTTACAGTGGAGTGTTGGCTTTACGGACGCTGTAACGATACGCGACACACAATTAAGGAAAGTGAAGCTAAGTATTTAATTTAGAAAATTACTCACAAGATACCAAACCCCGAGAAGCCCAGCAGATCTCAGCTAGCGACTGGACCGGAAGCCGAACTCCAGGAAAAGAGAGCGAGACTTCCTGTGCGCTGTCTTTTATGCCTTCCCCCGTAACGCCCCTAGCCATGCCCAAAAGTGGGCTTGGCTAGTGACGTAGTTCCGCCTATGTACGTATACGTCTTTACGTCCAGCCGTATACATCTTTAGTCCTGCCTAAAGTGGGTGTGGTTAGCGGTGTGGTAAACCGCCCTTTTATTACCTCATCTGTATGCGCCTCTAGTAAGTCACATGTTTAATGGCAGCATCAGACTTCCTCCTACAATTCCCCTTTTAGTCTAAAAAAGGACAACTAACTTGTGTCCATGAACAAAATGTATCAAACATCTATTCTATCTAAACCTAAACTTATCTTAAAGAAACACCCAAATATGAACACCTCCTTCCAATCCCAACTCTAAAATAATGGAAAACTAACACTAACAGGTGTAAACTTATAATATCAATAGTAGGGAGAGGGGGCGTGGAATTCTCAAAACTACTTCCTGCTGAGATGGGACGATGATAATCTCATGGGGACCTGTGAAAAGAAAATGTTAGTATAACAAAATCTCAGTAGAGCAGACAGTCTCAGTATGGCAGGAGATGCTTGATTGAAGTTCCTGACTGGGGTTCTAGTGTTGATTGAAGCTCTTATCTTGAAGCTCTGGTCAGATTGTAGAAGATGTGCTATTTCCGTTCCTTGGTCTGGAGTTGTGTCGAGTGATGTAGTTTCAAGCCAGTTTCAGGATAGTGCTTGTCAGGTGGAGTCAATGATGTGGGGCAATTCAGATGCCTCCAGTCGAATCAGGTGAAGCCAAGGAAGTGGATCCTCATTCTCTTTCGGAAGCAGTTGAAGATTGCTGTCAGGAAATCCCTTGTTCTCTGGAAAACTCGAACATTACTGTTAACAAAGAAATATTTTAACTTTCATATGTAAGCATACAGAAGAGGTGACAATAGGGAAGATGGAAAACCTGGAGGAAATTAGACTGTTCAGAAAAAGAAATCCACAGATAAGAGTCCCTCATTTTATTTCTTCTGTCTTATATCAATGGCTCTTTGATATAATACAGAAATTCTGAATTGTATTTAAATAATATGCTTGGGGTTAGAGTAGGAGAGCCAATCCAACTCCAAAGCCAGCTTCAGTTAAATGAATGGGAATTGAGGTATGTGAAGAAATAAAGATAAAAGTGTACTATGAAAAAACAATATAGAGAGATTTAGACTTTGATACCACACAGTGAGATACTGTTTGTTTGATGGTCCTCAGGGTAGCTATTCATTCTTCTACAGGAATCCATAAGTCCAGTATTCTTTGCTGAGTTCACCTGTGAATACAAAAAACAAAACACTTCTCTTTCCTTTTAGGAGGTTACTTTACCCATGGTGGACTATGAATTTGTAGATGGGATGTTATCTTCCTCCTCCTGAGATGTTTTCTGTTCTGATCGAATTTTAATTAATTTTGATGGAATCCAAACCTTTTCTTCTCCTGTGGAAACAAAAGCATAACCCCTTCCCCAACGTAACACATATCCTGGTTTCCAGACTGAGGTCATAACATCCTTAAAGTACACCGGTTGGTTCAGTTCAGAAGTCTTCTCTGTAGTCCAGTGTCTTTCTGCTGCAGTTTGTCCTTTTTCATCAGCATTAAGAAAATTCAACGTTAGTAAAGCATTGTGTAACCTGTGTCTAGGTGTCTTTGTTTTCCCTGGCTGTTTATGAAGCATCTCTTTTAAAGTCCGGTTAGATCTTTCAATTATCGCTTGTCCTGTGGGATTGTAAGGTATACCAGTTACATGTTTTATAGTATAATATTTGAAGAATTGTTCCAATTTACTGGAGACATATGCTGGACCATTGTCAGTTTTTATTGTTTTAGGTATACCCATAACAGCCATCACCTCTAAGAGGTGTGTAATAACAGAGTCAGCTTTTTCAGAGCTGAGGGCAGTAGCCCATTGGAAGCCTGAGAACGTGTCTATAGTATGGTGTACATATTTCAAACTGCCAAATTCTGGGAAGTGAAATACATCCATTTGCAAAAGTTCATTTCTGTGAACACCTTTAGGATTACAACCTGCTGGTAATGGAGTTTGAGTGTACAATGAGCAACTGGGACAATTTCTTACTATTTCTTTGGCTTGTTGCCAGGTGATAGAAAAATCCTTCTTTAAACCTTTGCTGTTAACATGGTGTTTCTTATGAAATTCTGAAGCTTCCAACACATTACCTACTAATAAACGATCAATTTCATCATTGCCTTGTGCCAGAGGACCTGGCAGACCTGTATGGGATCTGATGTGTGTTATATATATAGGATGAGTCCTGTTTCTGATGATTTCCTGCAATTGTAAAAACAATGAGGTTAATTCTGTATTATCAGGAACAAATTCTGCAGTCTCAATGTGCAGGACAACTCTTTCTGCATACTGAGAATCCGTGACTATATTGAGAGGCTCTGTAAAGTCTTTAAGTACCATGAGAATGGCATATAACTCTGCCTTTTGTACGGAGTTGTAAGGGCTTTGAACTACTTTACTTATATTTCCTGATTTATACCCTGCTTTACCTGATTTGTTTGCATCCGTGTAGAAGGTAAGAACTCCAGAAATAGGTGTTTGCCTCACGATACGTGGAAGAATCCAAATTGTTTTCTTTATGAATTTGATTCTCTCTGTTTTGGGATAGTTATTACTAATACTTCCCAAAAAGTCACTGCAAGCTATTTGCCAATACTCATTATCCTTCCATAAGGAGGAAATTTCCTCATTCGTTAACGGTACAATAATTTCAGCTGGGTCTTTCCCAGTCAGTTGACGAAGCCTTAATTTACCTTTTAATATCAAATCAGATATCTTTTCTATATATGTTTTCAATTTTTTATTTTGTTTATGTGGCAGAAATACCCATTCTAGAATGATGTCGTCCCTCTGCATTAATAGTCCTGAGGGGTATTCTCTAGATGGTAAAATAACCAGAATACAGTCCAGATTTGGATCCACACGGTCCACATGTGCTTCTAATATTCTCTTTTCTACCCATTCTAATTCTTTTTCAGCCTCAGCTGATAGTACTCGTGGGCTGTTTAGGTCTTTATCTCCTTTTAAAGCCATTTTCAGGTGTTTTAAATCATGCCCTTCTACACCAATAATCGTCTGTAATTGAGAGATTTCTCCTAATAGTTTTTGAAGATCATTAAGAGTCCGGTAACGATCTCTTCTGATCTGTACTTTCTGTGGTCTAATTTTCTGAGCATCTATTTTATAACCTAAATAGTTAATAGAATCTCCTCTTTGTATTTTTTCTGGGGCAATTTGTAATCCCCAGCGAGGCAAAATTTCCTTTACTGCCTCAAACATCTTTTCCAAAGTATCCTTATTCGAATCAGCCAATAATATGTCATCCATATAATGATATATTAACGAATGTGGAAATTTTTTACGAATTATTTCTAGAGGTTTATTCACAAAATATTGACACAAAGTTGGACTGTTTAACATACCTTGAGGTAGTACCTTCCACTGGAATCTCTGTACCGGACGGGAATTATTATAGGTAGGTACTGTGAAGGCAAACTTTTCTCTGTCGTTTTCTTGTAACGGTATGGTGAAGAAACAATCTTTTAAGTCTATAACTATAATTGGCCAATCCTTAGGAATTAGAGAAGGTAACGGCATCCCAGGTTGTAGAGATCCCATAGGCTGAATTACCTTGTTGATGGCTCTAAGATCAGTAACCATTCTCCACTTACCAGACTTCTTCTTGACAACAAAAACAGGCGAATTCCACGCACTAGTTGATTCCTCAATATGTCCAGCATCTAGCTGTTCCTGAACTAACTTCTCCAAAGCCTCTAACTTCTCAGATGTCATAGGCCATTGACCCACCCAGACGGGTTCATCTGTCAGCCATTTTAATGGTAGAGCTTTTGGTTGCTCTGTAGGTTTGGCACTAGCATCTTGCTTCTGCACAGCCTGTACATTTGGCATCTGTTTTCTGTACTGTCTTACTATATTCTTACTACCACTAAGAGCTTGTCTATAATTCCTAGCTGATACAGGAGGAATTTTAATCTGCGTATTCCATTGCTGGAGTAGATCACGACCCCAGAGGTTTATAGCAATATCTGCAACGTATGGCTTTAACCTTCCTCTCTGTCCTTCTGGCCCAATAAAGTCAATCCATCTAACGCTCTGTTTAACTTCAGATAGGGTTCCGATCCCTAAGAATTGAACATTAACCTCTTTTAAAGCCCAGTTTTGTGGCCAGGACTGCTGATTAAGGATAGT